GATCCTAGAACAGGATTGATGTCTATGTGAAAAGAAAGTAAATTGTTGTTTCTGTGGGTGGAGTTCACGCCATACATCCTTTAATTCATATTCCTCCCTCATGTCTTCAAAAGTTTTGAGGAGAACTCTCCTCCTTTCTCTTAATTTCCCCCCCTTTTGGATGTTTCCTGGGTTATAATCCATTGTCCTATCTGCCACCGCGTTATAATCACCCACCACAACGTTTGAAGGCAAGCTATACTGTTGCTGCAAGGAAAGATAGGGAGGAAAAGCTATGTTCACCATCCTGAGGTTCTGGAAGAAATGCAGATTACATATCAAATAGATAAGCAATAAAAAGTATTCTATATACAAAGATGATAGTTAACAATAGGTCGAATGTCCTTCTATCGAGATTACAAGAAGCATCCTACAAAAAATCCAGAAGAAAAATGGTTTGCAAACCTATTGAATCTTTCCCTTCTCCAGAGCTCATTTTCATGGTCAGCATCTCACATGTGGTGGTAATGCCTTTTTGTTGTTGTTAGACATTTCGTCATTCCAGGTGTACTAGAAGATGTCATCCCGGAGAAGCCAAAACGGTATTGGAGGGAAAACCGCTTTGCTGCTATGGCTGTTCCTTGTGTGCAAAAGGGACCATCTCGAATCAGGAAGGTAAGTGTCTGCTGAAGAAAAAGCTGGACTTTGTGAACTGAGCCAAGAATCACTAAGATGCATTCTGAAATAAAGAATTGCTGTCTTTAACTTCTGAAATATGTGCTCCAAGAGATTTACAATTAAGGAATTCTATCCCATTGTTCCATTGAAAAATGTGGTAAGAGGAAATGGATCTACAATGATCAGAATAAAAAGTGAGCTGGCTTTGTGCCTAAGGTTGGAGTAGAATTCATGGTCTCCCAGTTTCTAGCTTGATGCCTTAACCCATGGGTTGGCAACCTTAAACACTCAGAGCCACAAAGGTTGTAACCCCTGCACAACTCTGACTCTTATGTCAACTTCCTGGTAATTTTTTTTTATTTTGAGCTCTCTTCATCTACCATTGCATTGCTACTGAAAAAGTCTTTTTCTTATAATAATTCAAGCAAGCTTCCTTTTATTCCATATTTTCTCAGAAAAGGAGCATTTTTCCGTAAATGGCCTGTCTGGGTGTCAATCGTCAGAACTCACAGATGGAAAATAGCACAATACAATATTCATTCCAGAAGGAAGGTATTAATCCTGCTATATCTGTTTTTTTTTCAGATGCAGATTATTGCAGCAAGTGTCCTGCTGATCAGCATCCAGATGAGGCCCAAGTTCAATGTCTCCCCAAGATCCACACCTTCCTGTCCTACAAAGACTATTTGGGAATCTTCCTGACTTCCTTTGCCCTCTTCTTCTGCTTAATCACAGCCTTTGTGTTAATCATCTTCATTAAGTACCTGGAAACTCCTTTGGTCAAAGCCAACAATCAAGACCTTTCCTTCGTTCTCCTCATCTCCCTCCTATTTTCTTTCTTGTCCTCCTTCTTATTTATTGGTCAGCCAAGGACTACCACTTGCCTTCTCCGACAAACCGTCTTTAGCATCATCTTTTCAGTTGCTGTCTCTTCTGTTTTGGCCAAAACAGTCACAGTGGTGCTGGCCTTCTTGGCAACAAAACCAGGAAGCAAGGCAAGGAAGTGGCTCGGGAAGAGCTTGGCCAACTCCATTATTATTTCTTGTTCTGGCATCCAAATGGTCATGTGTACATTCTGGCTGGGAATCTCTCCTCCATTTCCTGAGTCTGATATGCAGTCACAGTCTGGAGAGATCATCCTGCAATGCAATGAAGGCTCTGTCGCCATGTTTTATGGTGCCCTTAGCTACATGGGCTTCCAAGCTGCTGTCTGCTTTGTAGTGGCTTTCCTGGCCAGGAACCTCCCTGGGGCTTTCAATGAAGCCAAGCTGATCACCTTCAGCATGCTGGTCTTCTGCAGTGTCTGGGTGTCCTTTGTGCCCACCTACCTGAGCACCAAGGGGAAATTCATGGTGGCTGTGCAGGTCTTTTCCATCTTGGCCTCTAGTGCGGGCTTATTGGGTTGCATTTTTATTCCCAAATGCTACATTATTGTTTTAAGACCAGACCTGAATACAAAAGAGCATCTAACAGCAAGAACTGAAGTTGGCTTGAAAGCAAAGGCTAAATAAGTGCAGTGGGCTTACCACTTGATTTGTGTTAATTTAGCAATTTAATTTCTGCTAGATGTGCATTATTGTGAATGTGGAGATATAGATTGGATCTACAGAGTGCTAAAAGGAATCATTGTTTCACCCCCTGCAAGCCATTTATAGCTGCTGCTCCTCCCCTCCCCCCAATTGGGGCTTAAGGGAATCCATACCAAAGTTTCCATTCCAGCTTTGTGGACTGAATCACCCAGAGCTCTTCCTACACTCAGCAAAGTCTACCCCCATGGTGGCGAACCTATAGCAAGCATGCCATAGGTGGCATGCAGAGCCCTCTCCACAGGCACACAAGCCATCGCCCCAGCTCAGCCCACTGTGCATGCACATGCGCCTCCCGCCAGCCAGCTGGTTTTTGGGTCTCTGCTGCAAATGTGTGTGGCGCATGTGGGAGACACATGCACATACTTGGGGATTCAGGTTCATGGGGGGTCACACACACATGCATGGGGGTGCACACATGGGTGCATGCATGCGCCAGGGCCATGGGGCGCAGGGGAGGTACACATTGCATTCGGCACTCGGCAACAAAAAGGTTAGCCATCACTGGTCTACCCCATTTGGAGAAAAAAAATGGGCAGCAAAGACAAAGCAGATTTTGCAGGCTATTCCATGGGAGTTGAAACCAAAAGAACAGGAGAAATCACCAAGGTTGAAAAACAAAAGAGAATAGGTTTTGTGACAGTCATAAAGCAACATGGTCATTAAATACCGTATTTTTCAGAGTATAAGATGCACCGGAGTATAAGACGCACCAAGATTTTGAAGAGGCAAATTAAAAAAAAAGTTTTTGGACTCTTCAGACTTCCCAAAAATGGCATGTTTTTTGCAAAAATGGGCCAGTTTTGTTTTTTAAGAAGGGCATGAATAGCCTTTAGGAGGCTTGTAGAGTACTCCCGGGGGGGGGGGGGCAAAATGAGCAAAAAATGGCCCGATTTTGCCAAAACGGGCCCATTTTTTTTTGTCAAAAAAAGGGGCTGCATAGCCTTTAGGAGGCTTATAGAATGCTCCTATGGAAATTGAGCAAAAAACACTTTTCTGCCCTCCCCAGCCCCAAGGAGCACTCTGAAAGCCTCCTAAAGGCTATGCATGGCCATTTTGGTGAAGGGGCGAGGTTTCAGGAGGCAAAAAATGGTGTATTCAGTGTATAAGATGTACCCAGATTTTCAGCCTCTTTTTTGAGGGAAAAAGGTGCATCCAAAAAATACGATAAATCTATATCCAATGGGTGTTTTTTGCCATTTTCTATTAGAAAACGGCAAAAAATGTTGCAAATTATAAATCACTGCAGCTAGTCATAAATGGAAGCCAGTTGCCCACCACCCAAAATGCAATTATGTGGTTTGGGGAGGGAACAGCAGTTGTAAGTTCAAGGATAGTTTGTAATGTAGCTTTTTAAAGTCGGACATAACTTTGAAGAGTTGTTAAATGACTGGTTGTAAGTCAAGGACTGCCAGTATATCTGAATCCATAAGTTTGTGCTACATTGTTTATATAGTTATTTAAAATACTTATATGGCCACCCACCTTATATACAAGAATTCTTGGTGGTTCATAGCAATAGCAGTAGCACTTAGCACCTAGACCAGGGATGACAAACCTGTGATGACACGTCGTCATGTGATGTATTACAACTTTCCCCTTCACTAAAATGGGAGAGGGTGTAGCCAGCGCATGATGCATCTGGCCCGCAGGCCACAAATTTGACACCCCTGACTTAGACTTATATATACAAGTGTTTTACAACCCTTTCTAAGCGGTATACAGAGTCAGTATATTGCCCCCAACAATCTGCACCCTCATTTTACTGATTTCGGAAGGAAGGAAGGCTGAGTCAACCTTGAGCCGGTGAGAATCAAACTACCAAACCACAAACTATGATGCTAACAAGACAAGCTACATCTCATGACTTCCCACAAACAGCACTACCCCATAGATCTTCCGGGCTCCTGACTTATCCTTTTGGGAAAAGCCTACTCTTCAAAAATTTATGGCACACAGAAGCAGTGTAATACAAGCAACACAGATGGCACCCAGAATTGTGTTCTGAAATAGTTATAATTTCCCAATGTTCTTCAAGGGCAGATAGTGTGGGTATGCTCCTGATTCCCTCTCTCCAGTATGGTCATCTAATGCAGGGGTGTCAAACACAATATCCACAGGCCCATGCGGTTGGATCCGGCCCGAGGGGCTATTCTGGAAAATGTAAGGCACCATCCTGCATTGCATTACCCCGGTCACCTGATCGGGCAAACCGGTAGTAATGGTGGTGGGAGGCTCCGTCCACCCACCCAGATGCTTCTGTACATGTGCAGAAGCTTCTGCGCATGCACAGAAGAGTCCGGGTGGGTAGGTGGATCACAGAAGCATCGTACACATGCATGAGCACACATATGCACACGAGCAAACCAATAGTAAAAAAAATGGAAACCCACCACTGGGCCCAGTCAACCCAATGCAAAGAGGAAACATTGGGCCAATGTGGCTTTGGCCCAGTTTACCCAGTGGGAAGAGGAAATGCCAGCAGTTTGGGGAGTGGTGTCAAGCTGGCCACACCCATCCAGATGACCACTCCCACCCACTCAGCCACACCCACCAGCCCCCTGAGGTCAACCACAGTCCTGATGCAGCCCTCAATGAAATTGAGTTTGACACCCCTGATCTAGAAAGTGTCTTTTCTATGATAGCCACTTACCTATGGAATATCTTTCTCACTGAAGTTCAGCAGGCGTTCACTCTTTGAACCTTTCATAAAGCCTTACACACATGGCACTGGGAGATTAGACAATGATGTGATTGCATGGACAGGCACCAGATTTTTCTTTTCTTTGGTTGCAAAGTTTTAATTCAGTGTGTTTTACAGTTTTTAAAATGATGTTATTGGGAGTCACCCAAAGTTGTCTGAAAGATGGATGGCTACATAAATGTTTTAAATAAATAGATAAATTTCCTTAACCTTCCTGCCCAAATCTGAAATTTCCTGACATTAAACTACAGTATATATAGAGCCGTGACATTTTGTCTGATTTTAATTGAAAATAGTTTTATATTGCCCAAATTACATCACATTGGGTGAGGGACAACATCTCTGTACTGTAAACCAGGAGTCTCCAACCCA